TAAAAGAGATATAAAAATAATTTTAAAGAGGATATGAAATTATTTTAATTTTGAATTAAATTCAAATAAAAAACGTAAAATATAAAAATGTGTATTATTATCTTATTATGTATATGATTTACATATTAATGTAAAAGCAAAATGTTGTTGCGATTATCTGTATAAATTTATTTTGCTGTTAATATCGTCTGTCTATAAAAATTATGCAATAAAATGTCTAGTATAATGATTTATAAATTTCATATTTAACATACGAACAAATTATTAAAATAATTATATAATACTGATATTATTTAAAATTATTATTCCAAAATATAATTATATTATTTCTTATAAAAATATTTTTGTGAGGAAAAAAATATTAATTAAGAATAATAATAATCAATATGCAGCTATGTGATGTAATTATAAAAGATTATAAAATCATATATGTATACATAAGAAGTAATGCAAAAAAAGTTTTTTTGAAACAAAATTTATAAGATAAGAATCTTAGAAGTTGTGTTATGCTGTTTTACATATTTAAGTATTCTGAATATAATTATCTTTTGCTGTTTTTATAATATTTTTTAGGCTATGACGTAAAATTCTGATTTCTAACTATATCAACATATATTATTATTAGTTGTCAGTCTGCTCAGTAGCAATTTAACCAGCTACATGGTAAGTCGCAAAGTTTTTCTTTTTACTTAATATTATGTCTTTTTATATAGAAATATCTATATATATAAGCACCGTCCGTCTGTCTGTCTGTCTGTCTGTGCCCGAACTACTTCCGCATTTGTGGACCGATTGTCTCGAAATTGGTACCAAAATGTTGCAAATTTTTCGGGGGTGGCTGCTGTGGGTTTTTTTTTTTAATTTTTTTATTTTTATTTTTTTTCTTCAGAGGAGGGTATGTTTTTGCGAAAAAAATTTTTTTTTGCAATATTTCTGAACACATGGTATCAAAATGTTGCAAAATTTTTGGAGATAGCGACGATGCGGTTTTTTTAAGTGTAACACCTCCACCCACGCATCCACCCACACGCATGCGCATTTATGGACCAATTTTCACGAAATTAGTACCAAAATGTTGCAAATTTTTCTGAGGAAACTGGTGTTTTATTTTTTTAAGTTTACGCCTCCACCCACGCAATCATCCACGCAATCGCATATTTATGAACCGATTTTTTTTAAATCGGTACCAAATTGTTGCAAATTTTTTGGAGATGGCGACGATGCGGTTTTTTCAAGTGTTACACCTCCACCCACGCACCCACCCACGCGCATGCGCATTTATGGACCAATTTTCACGAAATTGGTACAAAAATGTTGCAAATTTTTCTGAGAAAGCTGTTGTGTGGGTTTTTTAAGTTTACGCTCCCACCCACGCATCCACCCACGCAATCGCATATTTATGAACGGATTTTTGTAAAAATTGGTACCAAAATGTTGCAAATTTTTTGGAGATGGCGACGATGTGGTTTTTTCAAGTGTTACACCTCCACCCACGCATTCACCCACACGCATGCGCATTTATGGACCAATTTTCACGAAATTGGTACAAAAATGTTGCAAATTTTTCTGAGAAAGCTGCTGTGTGGTTCTTTTAAGTTTTATCCCACTCATGCATCCACCCACGCATTCAAACATTTATTCACAGACTTTTTCGAAATTTGTACTCAAATTTTGTCCGGGATGGCTACTATATGATTTTAACAAATTTTTATCACTTTATTTATCCACCCACGCACCCACCCAAAAAAATTTAAACATTTATTTTGATATAAATTTCGTGAAAATCGGACAACAAATGTGGAAGTAGTTCGCGGTAATACAAAAAAAGAATTAATTTTTGTGTTAAAACGGATTTAATATAGGCTATATGAGGACCGCGCGAAGCGCGGTCCGAATAGAAAGGCTTTGAGGACCGCGCGAAGCGCGGTCCGAAAAGCTAGTATTATATATATATGACAACTTTATTTTTGAAAAAATATTCTACTTGTAATGTATATGGCTGTAATTAATATTATTAGTATAATATACAAAAATAATCTTTTCTATGGGCAATAATAAATGTTTTTTTTTCAGAAATTATCAGAGAATTCTCAAAGATCTGATTGCATCTTAAATACCATAATATAAATAAAAACGATCATAATTTAAAGCATAAAATATAAAGTATCATCGTTTTTCAATATGCAATACATTTTTAAATTAAAACTGTAATGCAATAACGATTATTGTTACAGTCTATTCAGATTCTTTTTATATTTAATTACATTAAATATAGAAGTAAAATATTGCGTAGCAAGAAACCTCTGATAAATTGTTCGCATTTGCGATATTTATACTGTAAATAAAAAAAATTAACTGAATTTAATATTATCCTACAGTAAAATATACATAGATAATACACTGTATATATTTATCGCATAAAAAGATTGTTTGTATATTAATTGCACATTACAGCCACACTTTAGAAGTGGAATATATATATTTTCTTATGGAGTTTATATTTTATATATAAAAATTAAAATTTTAATTTTTAAATCATATTTCTCTTAAACAATGTTATTTTTTATATAATTTTTCTGGCGGTTCTTAATTTACAAATGCGTGTTTCACACATAAAAATATGTACACACATATATCGGCAAAATCGGAGAATTTTCACAAAATTATTACCCAAAATTTAAGTAAAAATTAATAAGACTCACCGATATACGATTCTATTATTATTAGTTGATACTTTCTGAAGATCATTGGCCAATGATGTTTTTATGTTTACATTAATTTCATGGACAAAATACCTACGTGTTTAGACAACAATTGTTTTTATTTTTTTCTGTAATACATATTAATAAAGAATTTGATTTATTTTATAACTTTATTTTAGAAAAACTTATAATTAAGGCTGCCTGGAAAAAAATTCATATAATTATATTCTAATATTTTATATATAATTATATATGTATAGAATTTATAATTCCAAATCGCAAACTTCACTTCTAAAAAAAAAAATACAAAAATTATTTTTTATTACATAAGACATAAATTATTTTTTTATTAACATAAGTATTAAATATACGCAGGCCATACTGCGTCATTGTAGACAAAGGTATTGTGTCACTTGATTCTATAGATTTTATTTCTTTTATATAATTCAAGTTATCCCCCGCCTCCTATTACATAACAAAATTTATTTTATAATTTATTTCTCAACGATAATATGCAGTGGGATTTTATTCACATATTAATTAAACTATTATTAGTATTAATTGGAACTGCTATTATTGCACAATAACAAAATTTATTTTATTTTAATAAAAATTTTATATCTTGAATATTATATATAATTTATGACATGAGATATTTAGTAGAAGACATAATAAATATATATGTTTGACGTAAGAAGAAGGAATTGCTAATTATATCGTTGAGAAATAAATTATAAAATAAATTTTGTTATGTAATAGGAGGCGGGGGATAACTTGAATTATATAAAAGAAATAAAATCTATAGAATCAAGTGACACAATACCATTTATTATAAATTTTATACAACATTTAATTGATTAATTTTACAAATTAAGAATTTAACAAGGCTCTGTAATATAAATATAAATAAATTGAGAGTGTCGAACAGGCAATAAAAGCCAAATCGCGGATGACAGTGCGTTATCCCAACGAAACTAAATTTTTTCGTTAGGATTAAAAACCTGTGCACAAGGCACTAAATTTTACTTGGACACGGCCAAGATTAAAATTGGAATAATCTCTACAAGAGATTTAATTCCATACATCCCCTGTTCCCCCCCTTAAGGAAATAAATGCAAGAGAAAAATATAGATCCGAAAGTCGTTGAATCGGGAATCGAACCCGAGACCTTTCGCTTGCCAGGCGACTGCTCTTCCATCTGAGCTATTCAGATCCCTTCGATTCTATACTTTTCTCTGCTATATCTATAATAATGTTGATAAACAAACGCCTTTAAGCCAGCGTATACAAATTAAGAATTTAACAAGGTAATATAAATATAAATAAATTGAGAGTGTCCTCCAACTTTTTTAAAAGTTCAAGAATATATACGAATTCAAGAACATTAAAGGTTAAAATTTTGTCCTTTACATTATGTGCATCGAACATCTTTCGCCATTATGATTCATTTTGGATGACAAAACTACCATATATCTTGTATATAATGTCAGAATATTTACAAGACTACCATAATTAACTTTTTTTATTATAATTATATTGTTGAGAATAATAATATCAATTTTTCCTCTTTCGTAATGTATACAATTTATTTATATATAAGTATATGAAAAACCTGTAAATCACCATTTCTGACATCAACGATAAAGTGAGGACAACATAAGAATTATATAAAAGAGAGACGCAACCCTATCAAAACGTATATATATACATTTGGTACTCTCTGCATAACTGTTTATAAAATTTGTCTTAAATATATGTACTCAAAATTATATCACCTTTTGATTTTTCAGCATAACTTGCTTTAAAGTGCATGGATCTCTACTCGAATAATAACATGTTTTGAAGGACGATATAACATATATTGAATTATAATTCAATGTTATATCAACTTTTAAAACATGTTATAATTTTATAGAGATCCATTCACTTTAAAACATATTATGCTGAAAAATCAAAAGGTGATATAATTTTGGCCGGTACTGTATATGCAGGATAAGCCATTTTAATCAACGCACGTAAATATCTCGTATAGTAAGCAAGATGGAAAAAAGTGTTTCGAACAAAAGTTTCTTGACTATGAGGGGCACATAAAATGGTGTTATTGATTTGACCTTGTATAATCATTTAAAGGTCACCTGCAATTTCTTAAATGGAACCTGTTATTTTTCATTACATATTCTTATAGCTTATCTAAAGAGCTTTTCAAATCCTATAATAAAGTGTTGTTTGATGGAGTACTTTTAAAATTATAAAAGTTTAAAGTTTTTTACAATTTTTTGGCCTAAAATGTAAAATATCTTGTAAAATGTTCAGTTCAAATCAATGACACCATCTTATGTCCCCCTCATAGTCAGAAAACTTTTGTTTGGGACATTTTTTCCATCTTGCTTACTATACGAAATATTTATATGTGTTGATTAAAATAACTTACCCAGTATATGAAACACTTATCAATCAGCCTTCGTTGAAGAATTAGCAAATCAAAGATTAGAAGATTAGAAGATTAGATTAGAAAAAATCTTTTCTCAATGAGAAAAGTCGACCAAAATGGCATACCAATTCTTTCAGAAATATTTTTATTAATTATTACTGGCGGACCTAAAGGACTATTATTTGTTAGATTAGAAGATTAGAAACAGTGTAGCAGAGACAGACCTCTTCCTGTTTGAATCGAATCGTTTTCTTTCAGCAAAGTAAGTTTTTCTTGTTCTAAGAAAATTAATACAAAATTGTTAAAAATCAATTAATTTTTTGGCAAACATAATGTAATTATTCATTGTGCACACTCTTTATTTTTATTTCTTTTATTTTTTTTAAATATCATACATGGTCGCTTCAATAAAAGTAAAGCTGTAGTGGACGCAATTCAGTTTTAATACGATTGTGTGTTTAAATTTTTAAACACAAAATTTATTCTAGCCAGATAGAGGAAAATCGAATTATTCAACGAGCAAGATGGCTACAAAAATGGAAAGTGACATCGTCATTACAGGCATTTCAGGTAATTATACCGATTATGTCGACCGCGGTATAATCAATTTCATTATAGAAATGAGATACATTCATATTTTTTCCAGGTCGTCTACCTGAGTCCTCAAACATTGAGGAGTTTAAGGAGAATTTAATGAAAGGATTAGACATGGTTACCGAGGACGAGCGACGTTGGACACCGGGCATTCTCGGAATACCATCCAGATTTGCCAAACTCAAGGATCTTAGTAATTTCGACGCCTCTTTCTTCAAGATACGTCCTAAACAAGCGCACTCAATGGATCCGCAGCTTCGCATAATGCTAGAAGCGTCATACGAGGCGTTAATTGATGCCGGCGTCAATCCCTCAACTCTAAAAGGATCGCGTACTGGCGTGTTCATCGGTGTTTCCACTTCGGATGCGAGTAATTTTTGGAAGAAAGATCCAAATGGTACATACATTTGTTAAATTTATCGTGAAAATTTCCATCGTAAAATCACACCGCAAAAAAAGCCTTTTTTTTAAGTGAAAAAAAAAAAATACTCATCTGTTTGCAGGATATGGATATCTCGGAAGTAGCAGAGGGATGCTTGCCAACAGAATCTCTTACGTTTTTGATTTAATCGGACCTAGTTATTCGCTGGATACAGCCTGTTCCTCGGCTTTGACTGTTATGCATCAAGCGGTTCTTGCGATGAATATGGGTGAATGCGACGCAGCGATCATCGGCGGATTGAATCTCGTGCTCGATCCGGCTATTAGTCTTCATTTTCAGCAATTGAATATACTGTCCAAAGATGGCAAGTGTAAATCATTCGACATTATGGCCAATGGTTACGCGAGAGCTGAAGCAGTGGTCGTAATATTTCTGCAGAAATTAAAGGACGCACGCAGAGTGTACGCCACGGTGATAAACACGGCGATAAACACAGATGGCTACAAACCTGAGGGTTTCACGTATCCAAGCAGTGACATTCAATACTTGATGTTGAAGGAAGTGTATAGTAAAGTGAGTATCAATCTCGAAGATGTAGTTTACATAGAGGCGCATGGTAGCGGTACCCAAGCGGGTGATCAGCAGGAAATAAGTGCCATCGATAGACTGTTTTGCAAAAACAGGAAGACACCGCTGCAGATCGGCTCGGTTAAATCAAATATGGGCCACTCAGAAGCCGCCAGCGGAATATGCGCGCTAGCCAAGGTGCTGATTGCGATGGAAACCGGCGTGATCCCCGCGAATCTGCACTTTTCTATTCCAAATCCGAAGATTCCCGCATTGATCGATGGACGTGTTCGCGTAATTGACAAGGCCACGCCATGGAATGGCGGTCTCGTGGGTATCAATTCATTTGGCGCCGGTGGCGCAAATTCGCACGTTATTTTGCGCAGTAATCCAAAGACAAAAGTGTCATCGGTGCCAGAGACCATAGAGTCACTACTACCAAAACTGATAGCCGTGTCGGGTCGCACGAAGGAAGCTATACAGGTGTTATTGGACAAGGCGAATGAGCATCAACAGGACGACGAGTTTCTGGCTTTACTGCATACCGCGCACCAGGACAATATAGCGGGACACAACGTTCGCGGCTATGAGATACTCGCTCATGGTGGTACCCGCGAGATGGTCAAAATGAATAATGGCAACAAACGTTCTATTTGGTTTTTATTTTCCGGTATGGGTTCTCAATGGTCAGGTATGGGCCGCGAACTGCTCAACATCAAAACGTGCCAACATAGTCTACAGCAATGCGCAAACATATTGAAGAATCATGATATCGACTTAATGAATATCATCTTAAATAGCACCGATGAGACATACGAGAACGTGATGCTTGTTATGATATCAATCGTGGCCATCCAGATCGCTCTAGTCGACTTGTTAACACTTATAGGCATTCGACCAGACGGCATAATTGGACACTCCCTCGGTGAATTGTGCTGTTCATATGCCGACGGCGGGTTTACGCTAGAGCAAACTATCTTGGCAGCTTATTACAAAGGCAAGTCGACTCTAGATGCCAATTTAGAACCAGGCGCTATGGCAGTAGCCACATTGACTTGGGAGAAAGCCAAGGAGATGTGTCCACCTGATATCACTCCAGCTTGTCACAATTCTGCAAATTTGGTCACCATTTCTGGTCCAGTCGCTTCTGTGAAGAAGTTTGTAGAAGAGCTAAAGAGCAAAGAAATCTTTGCTAAAATAATCGACTCATCTGGCGTCGCCTTCCACAGCAAATACATTCTTCCGAGTGAATCAATATACCGTGCTTCGCTCGACATGATTATACCAAACCCGAAGAAAAGATCTCACAGATGGATCTCCAGTTCGGTACCCAAGGCCGCATGGGAAAGCCCACTCGCGCAATTCAGCTCATCGAAGTATTTCATAAACAATCTGGTGTCACCTGTGCTCTTCCAAGAAGCGATGGCGCACATCCCAGAGGACGCAATAATTATCGAGATTGGACCGCATTGCCTGTTGCAGTCGATTCTGCATAGTTCGCTACCGTTGACAATTACCAACATCTGTCTTCAAAATCAAAATTATTCAAACAATTTGATCTTTCTACTGTCTAATATAGGAAAGCTGTACACGGCTGGAGCGCAACCTGATATCTCCAAACTATATCCACCGATCAGTTTTCCCGTTAGTCGTGGAACACCGATGATCGGACCTCTGATCAAATGGGACCATTCCACCAAATGGGAGGTACCCACTTTTACTCAGAAGTCAAAACAATTGTCTGGAGAACATATTGTAGAAGTAAATCTGTCGAGAGAAACGGACGCATATCTAATGGAACACAAAATCGACGGGCGATATGTTTTCCCGGGCGCCGGCTTCCTTGTGATGGTTTGGAAACTCTTCGCGAAACTACATGACACCAATTTTGAACAACTGCCAGTAATCTTCAAAAACGTGTGGTTGCAGCGCATTACTTTCATCCCGACAAAGAAAACGATCAAGTTCTCGGTAAATATTCTTAAGAGAAAGGGCGACTTCGAAGTCCGGGAAGCCGATTCGATCGTCGTTAGCGGAAACATTGGCCTTGCCGAAGCTACCGAGAAGGATCAGCTGGACCTGCCGCTGCTTCCGATGCCACCCGATGGATTTGTATTGAACACCGAGGACGTTTATAAGGAATTTAGATTGCGTGGATACAAATACAGCGGTATTTTCAAGGGGATCAAATCCTGTGACAATTCCATCACTGTCGGCGAATTACATTGGTTCAATGAATGGTCCTCGTACATGGATAGCATGTTTCAGTTTAAATTATTGTCCATCGATCGGAGATTGGTGTATGGCTCGAAGTTCCGCTACGCCGTGATTGATCCTGTGCTTCACAAACGATTGACCGATGAGTTACCGAAAGATGCTGGATTATCGATATATCACTATAAAAACATCGAAGTCGTCAAATCGGGGGGTATCGAGATTAGAGGGATGAAATTTACTACATCTCAGCGACAGCAGATTCAAATCAAGCCCAAGTACGAACGTTACGTTTACGTGCCATACGAAAATCCGCACAGCCTGGTCTTGGAAGATTCAGCGAGAGGAAAGCTGCACGCACTCACTGTGCTATTGCAAATTGCCTGTGAGAACATAACGACGTCGAGGATCAAGGCCATGGAAGTAGCGAACGATCGAGACGCAAAAAGCCTCTTGGCGCCACTTATACTCGATATTTTTGATGGAGAACCATTAGTTAACGTAAATATACTTTGTGACGTGACAAATTGAAATTGTTCGTCACAAGGGCTGAATGGCCCGATCGGGGGAGGGCACGGGACCTCTGCTCTCCCGAGACAGCGAGAGAGAGAGAGAGAGAGAGAGAGAGAGAGAGAGCGTGCGTGCGAAAAGCGCGGGACCGGACGCGATCCCGCTGCTACGCGTTTTGTATATTTTTTTTTGTTGAGAGTTAGGATTATTTCGGCGGCAGACAGGATGTGCGACGAGTCTCAGCCGAGAGAGAAACCCTGGAGGAGAAATAGGAAAGGCATAGGAAGCAGGACGACGGGGACCCCCTTCGTCAGGGACACGCCCGGTAAGCCCAAGATTCAAAATTTCTTCACCGAACATCCGACAACGGAGTAGGTGCCACTGCGTAAAAATTTGTACCTTCCAGGAGCGAGCAGGGGATGGCCACTCGGGTGCAACAAGCACCCGAGTCCCCGCATACGGAGCGCCGGCAGGAGAGCTGCCGCCCCCGGGACATCCGGAATCCCGAAGGAGAGCAAGGAGCGGCCCTGCCGTACGCTGCCGCGACGACCGCCTACGAAGAGCAACCCGCGGATCAGGACTCCGCGGGTAAGGATAATTAAGCGCGCGGCCGACCTGATAGCGCCGCGAGTGGCCTATCTAGGTAATTGGGTCACCGACGTGTCTCCTGAGGGCCCCGGTTCGGCACTGTCTAGCGAGCGCCCGAAGAGAGTGGAGGTCCCGAGACGGAAGCGCGACTTAGAGAGAGCGAGAGAGGAGAGGACGATAAGGATCGTTACAGGACTGGTGAGACGACGTGGTCATCCTGCTGTTGCCGAATGAAGATAGCAGGGTGGATGGGTCCCGAAATAGTTTTATTGTCGAGTCGCGGTATTAACGTAACGAAACTCTATTGGGAGAAACTACGACCCATCCACTCTCTTGCGTTTCCGCATATTCTCTCTCCCGCGTGGACAGTCTTCGCGCGTAACATTGTCGCGCGAAAATTACCGCGATTTACGCGTTGCCGAATATTGTTCGAGGCGCAAAATCGGGGAGCTCATAAACGCTTTCGGGCTCATTAAAGTATTGATGTTGTCTTAAAAGAAAAGGCGTGATTATGTTTAATTTTGTGTATGGAATTTATGTACGGCGCACGCGGTGCGCCCTTACGCCGGCCCCTTTGTTGTCGCGCATACCGCGCGGATCACGCGCCCGCGGCGTGGAGTAATATACCCGGTGGTGCATCGCCGATTTAATTAATCAATTTTTTTTGTTATTGGAGACACTACCTCGTTGCCGCGAATTAGTTAAATATTATTCATAACTCGGCCCGGCGAACCACCGGTCGTATTGCCTCACCAAACTCTCAATCGTGCGTCTGTGCACGCCGCTTATTTCTGTATATTGTATACTCATGTGTCTTATGAACAAAATTTAAATATATGTTTTATTAACTTTAATTCCTCGGGTGATTTCTCGCCACCACGCACCCGAACCCTTACCCGTACAGAGGCTAGCCGAGCGGGAAAGCTGCCGTCGCGATCTCTCTCTCTCCCGTGATTGACGCCCGCGAGAGGGCTGGGACAATAAGTCCGAGTACATCAAGACTTAGCGTCCCGCGAATTTATTAATTGAGAGACGGTGCGGCTGCCGCACCTAGCGCCCAACTAAATCGAGATTTTAGTTTTCTTTTTTATTTTTTTTTTATTATAATTTTTTTTTGTGATCGGACGGAGAGATCGCGCCGAAGGGAACCGATATTCCGCAGGAGACGTTTCTCCTTACGCGACGAATTGATATTCGCTGCGAATTCCGCGCGAGACGGTTGTAACTTGCTATAGAATTTTAATGTCATTAATTTTTATAAGACAAAATTTTATTACATATATCATAAACCTTTTTCTTTGAACATGTTCTAAGTGCGTGTAAACATGTCACTTCCTTTGTTTTAGATTGACCTACAAGTGGCCGTCAATTCCGCAATTGATGATTACGCGACAATTTTCAATGAGATAAACGTTAACTTAGTGAAATGGGATGCAAACGATGCATTTTTAGGTCCAAATATGCATCTCGTCGTAGCAGCGGAAGTTCTTTCTAGCCAATCTTACACCGTTCTTAAAAACCTAGCAAGTGCCTTAAATTCCAGTTGCTTTATTCTTCTGAAAGAGACTGCCACACAACTCGACTTGAACACTGCGCTGAAGAAAGCGAATCTGATATTGGTCAGTAAACAAATCGACACCTCGGGAAAGAGTTACATCTTGTTAAAGAAACGAAAGGAGAAACGAGAATCAATCGTAATACAGATCACAGAAAAGAATTTCTCATGGTTGGAAAATGCAAAAGCTGTGTTGAAGAAATACGACAGCAATAATCAAGAAATTCTTTTTGTATCCCAAGGCGAAGAATTATTTGGTAAAATTATAAACAAACATGCTTATATATATATTTCTCTAAATGATTTTAAAAAACTAATTTTTAAAAATATTTATCTAACGATTATCTTTTTTTTCGAACTTTATTCTCAATCATCTAATCAGCAAATTAACATCTTATCTCTTTTTATTTGCAGGTCTAGTTGGATTTATGACTTGTATCCGGCGCGAGATCGCAAACGTGCGTTATATCTTTATCCAAGACAGCAACGCTCCCAAATTTGACTTATCCTCCCAGTTTTACGCGCAGCAACTAGAAAAGGAATTAATGGCTAATGTTTTGAAGGCAGGTCAATGGGGCAGTTATCGGCACTTACAATTACATCAGCCTAACAACGTGCAAGTGGAGCACGCCTATGTGAGTGCACGGACTCACGGAGATTTGAGTAGTCTAGAATGGATTCAAAGTCCATTAACTTCTGGTCAGACTAAACATTTAGATAAACTCTGCAGTGTATACTATGCGTCGTTAAACTTCAGGTAAGTTTCGGCGAACGTTACTCTTTGCTTGTTTGATTGATAATAAACGGAGATCATATGTTGTCACAATGATATAATAAATACTTGTTAAATTTCAAACTAAATGAATTTTGTACTATTGTATTAACAGGAATATTAATCTGGCGATCAGTAAACAACCAACGGACGCCCTTTCATCGGTAGAGATTAATATAGAAGACTCTGCCTTAGGACTAGAATTCTCCGGAAGAGACGCAAACGGCTGTAGAGTGATGGGTATAGTCAAATCTAGAAGATTGATGACCACCGTGTTACCAGATTCCGGTTTTCTTTGGAAGCTGCCTGACAGATGGACGTTGGAGCAGGCGGCGACAATACCGGTCGCTTACGTCACTAGTTACTACGCTCTGTTTGTACGGGGTCAATTGAAGGCGGACGAAAGCGTGTTAATTCATAGCGGCGCCGGCAGCATCGGTCAAGCAGCGATCACCATCGCTCTGCACACCGGCTGCACAGTCTTCACCACCGTCGACACTCCGGAGCAACAGCTTTTTCTCAAAAAAGCCTTTCCGCAATTGATCGAGAAGAATATTGGTAATTCTCGAGATACGAGTTTTGAGTATCTGATCTCCGACCAGACCCAAGGACGTGGAGTTGATGTGGTACTGAACTCGCTAATTGGAGAGAAACTGCACGCCAGTATGCGGTGCCTCGCGAAGAACGGTCGTTTCCTTGAGATCGGGAAACACGACATGTTGAATGGCAATTGTGTAGATATGTCGGTATTTTTAAAGAACATTTCCTTCCACGGTATATTTCTGGAGACGCTGTTTGACGAAAGCGAAGACAAACGAAAAACGATTAAACTGATGACAGAGGGAATCGCGAAAAGCGTAGTGCGTCCATTACCGACGACCGTATTTTCGAAGCAAAAGCTCGAGGAGGGATTTAAATTTATGATGACGGGCCAGCATATCGGTAAGGTACTGTTGAATATTCGACACGAAGAACCGCAAAAACACATGATGCCGATGTCGAAGATGATGACGACCGTATCGCGCTCCTACATGCATCCGGAGAAGTCGTATGTGCTAATCGGAGGTCTCGGTGGCTTCGGTCTAGAACTAGCCAACTGGATGGTCGCTCGCGGCGCTAAAATCATCATTCTTGTGTCTCAAACCGGCATACGCACCGGATACCAGATGTTGCGGATACAACGTTGGCGCGAGAGTGGCATCAAAGTCGTCATTTCCACGGCGGACGTGACGACGCCTTCTGGCGCCCTAAATTTGATCGAGGAGAGTAACCGGTTGGCTCCGGTAGGCGGTATATTTAATCTGGCCGTTGTGTTGCACGACGCCTTGTTCGAGAACTTGCAGGTGGCCGATTTTGAGGCTGTAAATTTGCCAAAAGTCGAGGTTACGAAGAATCTGGACATGGCATCGAGAAAGTTCTGTCCGTCGTTAGATTTTTTCGTCGTCTTCTCGTCCATATCCTGCGGCCGTGGCAATCTGGGTCAATCCAATTATGGTCTCGCAAATTCGGCCATGGAGAGGATGATGGAGCAGAGAAATGCCGCTGGTTTGCCCGGTCTCGCTATTCAATGGGGTATTATAGGAGACGTTGGATTGTATATAGGTGAGACTTAGTTTTCTATTTCTTTCGATCACTTTTTGGATTGCTTCTTATGATTCTATATAAACTCCTACCTATATAAAAATACCTTTAATAAAAATATACACAATAGTTTGCACGAGACTCTTTGAAGAAAATAATTATATATTATATTATGTTTTTATTAATGATGAGATGATGTTTTTATTAATATAAACATAAATAAAAACAACTTTTTATTGCAAGAAAGATATAAATACATTAAAGTATAAGAATTAGAGAGTATGAATTATTTATATAAGATAATTACAAACTAAATAATGTTATCTTTAAAAAAAGATAACAAAATAAATGTTTGAATAAATAAAATGTTTTGGCTAGATAAAGTAATAATCATTTATCATATTCGATATCATTCTACGATACTCTTATTTTTTACAGATACGATAACAAATAAAAACATTAATGAAGGTATTTTGCCACAACGTATGAGCAGCTGTCTTGCAACCATGGACATTTTTCTTCGGGAATCGTATCCTGTATTGGCATCCACAGTGATAGGCGTAAAGCACAAATCCGTGAACGATGGCAAAGTTAATTTTGTTGAAGTCATTGCCAGTATCCTTGGTTTTGAAAATGTCTATTCGATGAGTTTCAATGACACCTTCGATAAGCTCGGCATTGATTCGCTAGGCTACACAGAGATCAAGCAGATTCTTGAAAGAGAATATAATATCATATTATCGTTCCGAGAAATACAAGCCTTGACGATAAGCAAATTACGAGATTTATTAACTGCGACCGATGTATCTGGCAATTCTCCAACGAGTTAAAAAAAGTGTAGATAAGAAGATCGCAAGTCTCCTGCAGTATACATATATATGTTAAATACAAATTAATATATAGTAAGATATCTTTTAATTCTTTAAATATTCTCTTTTTAAAACTTTTCTAATATCTGAATGATGGTGATGGTATTATACTGTATTTTATAAAACTAATACAGTTTCTCTAAAATTATACGATTAATTATACGATTGTATTTTTAAATTGATCTATTAAATTTAACGTATTATAATTAATCTTGTGTTTTTACTTGTTTAATACAATTATGTGTATTTAAATAAGTATAATGAATTTTAAACATTCGAATTTTCGAAAAATGCTAATTCAAAATGAAGCTCTTTCATCGTTGCTTGTTACTTTAGGCGTCAATCAATGTGAGTGGCTGTGGTCATTTATAACGTTGGAGACACTTTGCAAACAAAGAAAAAATATATAAGGGCGATAATACATGTATTATACGTAAAAAAGTATTATACATAAGGTACGTTCAAGAATTATCCTTTTAGCGTTTTGACCTTATTTATCAACGTTTTTCCGAACGAACTCATCTTATCATTTAAGCCCCATACACAATGCCAGGCAACAGGCAATAAGAAATAGAAAATATCCACCAATAAGAGCAGAGAATATCTTCTCCTTTTCCGATTGGTCATATTTTTTATTTCTTATTCTTTTTAATTTTTAAAAAAATTCTTACATCCCAATAACAATATTGCAATCGCCCACCATAATTCATAATTTATTATTATTTTTTAATACAATTTTAATAATGTCAAAGTCAACTATAATTTATAAATTACTACACATAAAATAACTAATAATTAAAGATGCACCTACATCGGCTGCAATAGTTATTGGCTCATGTATATAGCGTTATCTGTACGAACGGAAATCCCCTCTTTCATTGAAACGTTGTAATATAACCACGAGATTACGAACATGTACACGCTTTTGCAACTTTTAATACTTGGCATTTTCGTTACTTTGCAAAACTCATATAAACGTAAGTATTTTATATATTATTTTTTTAGAATAATTGTGTCTACATGTAGTACGAATAGTGTAAAAAAATATCAATTTTATTTTTATTTTTTTATTCAAGATTTTTATATAACTTATATATATGAAGATATTTTTTAAATGTAAAATTGATATAAAATTTTTAATTAGGTATTTATATAAAGATTTATAATTATAATAGAAATTATGTTATAAATATCTTCATTTTTTTTCCTGCAAAATGGCTTTTAGGTTTAGACTAACTAGACGCTTTACATCTTGACATTTCATCTAACAATTTTCTATTATGGCAATGAATAGAAATACCACAGTGGATCCTGAGTACGAGAACTTTGTATTACAATAATATAATATTTTATTAAATTTATTAGCAGCTGTTATAGTTTTCACATGTATAACATGTAAAGCTGCAAATAACTTGAATTCTATATAATATCATACAATATTTAGCATATTGAAAAAATTATTTACTTAATTAATAATTCCATTTTATTCTAATCTAAGTAATTTATGTAACTGTTAACTGTATTATACAATTTATCATTCTTTTAGGGATTGCACAGCATTTTCAGTAGCACCAAGATTTCAGCTACCATTAATTCAAACTCCACCTGATTTAAAAATTGCATTGCAAAGACATTTGCAAGAAGATAATAACCTTTCACAAAAATGTCTTGATTATATAAAATGCATTAAGAGTTTGCATAATGTACAAAGGCTAAATTATGATTATTATTCAACTATACTAAAAATGTGCTTATATTTAGAGCAGTTTGAATTAGATTGTGAACTGGGACGGTACAAATTGTTAAATCATAAAATTAAGAACTCCAATTTAAATGAATGTTTCTTTATTGATTTACCATATATGAATAAGGAAACTCCTATAGTTGTACCAGATGATAAAGTGTATCTTACTGAAACTATTACAAAAGAAACAATTTGCGCTAGAGTTTTGAAGATAACAGAAAATCAAATAACAATACAGCCAGAGTTGTTTTAAGTTAGTTTACAATTCTTTTATTATGTATTAATAGGAATATAGCATACATTTATAATTTATAATATGATTATTATTAAATAACAGAATATAGAAAACATAAATGTATTGAAATTATTAATTTTGTATAATAGATATAGAAATGCAAGAATATTCAAAGACGAAAACAAGAGGTTTAATATAAATTTTGGGAGTAAACATTATCCATTAAAATGTTGCCATTATGCATTGATGATAATGAGTGAAAAAACACAATTTAGAAGAAATTATATATCCTAAACTCAAAATAAATAATACAGATTTAAAAGAGTAAGTCTTTAAACCATTATTAATATTTACATTTACATTGCTTTTTAGCAAATTTTTTCAATTTTAAATATATGTTTTATATAGCAACACTAAATGGATAAACACTAAGATAGAACAGAATGAAGAACAAAAATAAGCGATAAGGAAAATCTTGTGTAATACAGCATACCCAGCACCTTAAATAATTTTCGGTCCTCCAGGCACTGGGAAAACAGCAACATTAGTCGAACTTATATGTCAAGTAATTTGTTTTCTTTTTATATCTAACACATTTTATTTTTTTTATTAAATTAATTGTCTTATAAAATATAAATGAAATAAATTTATGTTAATACATAAAATTAATTCGGTGAATTAAAATTATGTCGAGACAAAATAAAAATTCGAAATTATTATTATGTGGCGATATAATTTCAACTTATCGAATTTTTATTGTGGCTACATAATAATAATTCGATGAATTAAAGTTATATCGCGACATAAAGATATTTCGATAAAATAAAATTACATCTAAACATAATAAAAGTTCGATAAACTAAAATTATGTTTGGGTATAAAAGTAACTCTCTATTCTTATGATGTATCGACATAATTTTAATTTATCAAAATTTTATTATGTGGCGACACAATAATAATTCGATGAATTAAAATAATATCACAACATAAAAATAATTCGGTGAATGAAAATTATGTTGAGGCATAATAAGAATTCGAAATTATTATTATGTCGCGATATAATTTTTACTTATCGAAATTTTATTTTGTGGCGACATAATAATAATTCGATTAATTATAATTATATCGCGATATACAGATATTTCGGTGAATTAAAATTATGTTGCAATTATTTTTCTTATTTAATAAAAGGTAGTATGCGATGTAATGAAGGTTTGACAAAGTAAAAGGAATAAATATATTTATTTAATGGAGAATTTTTTTACATTAAATGTTGGTATTGGCCACCATTCGCTTCCAAACATTTGATTGCCCTGTACGCAACGCTTTCTGTGGCATTCTTTATATGCCGCCGCTGTACGGTAGCAAACGCTCTTTGTATTCGTTCTTCTAATTCGTCCTGCGTTTCTATGCGGTTAAAATAAATTTTCTCTTTCTGCGCACCCCACAAGAAAAAATCACAAGGATTCAAATCTGGTGATCTTGGTGGCCATTGCCAGAAAGGTGCTCCACGACCCATCTAATTATTTCCATACGTATTATTTAAGTATTCTCGGACAGGTGTTGTTATAGTTAAAACAATAAAATTAATAATTAATTAAAATTAAATAATTAATTAAAACAATTTTAGAACCAGTAATTAATGATATTTATAAAAAGTTTCAATTAGAAAATTAAATTAATACAAAAATCATTTATGCGAAATAAAAATCGATTAAAAAATATATTTGAATAAATAAAAAATTGTTGTTATTGCATTGATGTACGATATTTTATGCACTTTTTGCATGCAATTTTTATTCAAACATAATTTTAATCTACGAAAAACAATATTTATCCGTATAAAATACGAGGGTCACTATTTATATTTCGGGAATTGGCAACACTGATGTCATGTGAGTCCATCTGACGGTTCCATCGTAAAGTTTGACATTTTTGACGATATACGTACTCAGAACATTTTGTCATACGGACGCTATTTGTTTATTTTATATTTAGTTGGAAGTTTCGTCTCGGCAAAAAATGGAACTGAATCGTGAACATTTTCGTGCGATGATTTTTTACGACTTTCAACGTGGATTATCACAACAAGAGTGCGTCAATCAACTTAATTTGACTTTTGGCGATAAAGCTCCATCAAAAACCACTGTGTATCGCTGGTATAGTGAATTCAATCGTGGTCGTAGTTCGCTGTCCGACGAGTTTTGTGAAGGTCGTCCAAAATTGACTGTAGTGCCAGAAAACATCGATGCTGTGCACGAAATGATTAAGCAAGATCGTCATGTAACCTATTGTGAGATTGAGGCATCCCTAAGCATTAGTTCCACCAGCATATATGCGATTTTACATGAACACTTAGCTGTGCGAAAGTTATGTTCGCGTTGGATCCCACATAATTTGACAATCGCTCAAAAAAAAGGCTCGTGTCGATTGGTGCAAAGAAATGCTTAAGAAATACAATCGCGGTGCTTCAAAAGACGTTTATAAAATCGTGACAGGTGACGAATCATGGATATATTCGTATGAGCTCGAAAGTAAGCAGCAGTCGACTGTATGGGTGTTCCAAGATGAACCAAATCCAACAAAAGTTGTTCGCGCACGAAGCACTTCAAAGAAAATGGTGGCCTGTTTCTTCGGAAAAACTGGTCATATTGCAACAGTGCCTCTAGAGGATCGTAGAACAGTAAATTCTGAGTGGTACACAACCATCTGTTTGCCAGAAATCTTCGGTGAAATAAGGAAAACAAACAAGAGACGTCGGATTGTTCTTCATCATGACAATGCGAGCTCTCACACATCGGCTCAAACAAGAGACTATTTGAGCACTCAAAACATCGAATTGATGGGTCATCCGCCGTACAGCCCTGATTTGGCACCCAATGATTTCTTTTTGTTCCCATCCGTGAAGAATAAACTGCGTGGTCAACGATTTTCATCGCCCGAAGAAGCTATTGAAGCGTTCAAAAATCATGTTTTGGAGATACTTCATTCGGAATGGAATAAATGCTTTGAAAATTGGTTTAAGCGCATGCAAAAGTGTATCGATCATCGTGGCGAGTACTTTGAAAAACAATAAAAATATATTCGCAGCTTAACTATTTGTTTTTGTTCCTATTCCCAAAATATAAATAGTGACCCTCGTATTTATTCCATATCTGACGCATTTCGTCGTTCAAATCTATCACAATCGGTAAAAAAGGATTCCCCTTTAAGTCACTACCGATGAACAAAAACTCTATATCCGGCAAACCGCTGAGTTTTTCTGGACTCTTAGTATTTATGAAGCCCAGAGCCTCGCACTCGCCCGGAATCGTAAACGGACCCGTTTGCCTGGTTAGGAAATCCGCTATATATGGATTAGCGGGATTGATCATCTCTTGTATTTTTAAACTAACTGGTTCGTTCACCATCCACGTTAGTCCGCCGAAGGTGACGTGATCCATCAGATTCTCCCCGACCCCCGGAACATCTCGGACAACGTCTATATCGAGTTCGGCGAGGTGTTTGGCTGGCCCAATACCGGACAGCATCAGTAATTGGGGCGACCCAATTGCGCCCGCGCACAGTATCACCTCTTTACTCGCAAACACGGAGATAAGCCGGCCGAATTTCGTAAAATCCACCCCGATCGTTCGATTTGTGCGTCGATCGATCAACAATTTCCTCACCATGCTTTCGCGCGTCACGTGAATATTGTTACGAGTGTTTATGGGATACAGGTAGGTTCTGTTACTGCTCATGCGAGTGCTATTTTGAATCGTGGTCTGTAAATACGAGAATCCTATTATGTCCTTTCCGGCGTTGTAGTCTATTATTGGGTACCTCAGCTCTTGGCCGGCTCTCAGGAATGCGTCTGCTAATGGGGTATGAAATAAGGGGTAGGAGATGTGCACGGGTCCCTCAGTTCCATGATAAGTAGTATCCGACCGCAGTTCTGGGATATCGATCGTCTCCAGTTTCTTGAAGTACTTCAGGACATCTTTGTAGACCCAACCTTCGTTCCCCATCTCAGCCCAGTGATCGTAATCCTCGGCCCCGCCCCGGGTTGCAATCATAAAATTCAGCACACTACTACCACCCATCACTTTTCCCCTGGGCCAGTTGCACCTATTGTTGTCCATCCCGAGGCAATACTTGTCGGAGGGCTTGGTCTGATACTTCCAATTGATGTCGTTGCTTAGCTGTAGGAAGTAAACAGTCAGCGAGATATCCATGATAAGGTTCTCGTTGGGTCCAGCTTCGATTAGCAGCACCTTTGCCTGAGAAACTTCACTTAATCTTGCGGCTACCGTGGCACCGGCTGTGCCAGCACCGATTACCACGAAATCGTAAACATCCCCGTATCTCGGGGTCCTGTCCGGGATCTCTTGATTCAGATTGAATTGACCCTTCGCCAAAAAGTTCAGGATTCCAACACCCGTTCTGAGCAGATTCTGCAAATTTGGTACATTATTCGCGTCCTCGCCGTACAGATTGTTATATTGTTTCGGAAAAATTTTCCTGGCCGACTGTGTCGGAACGATCAAGGCAACGATACTGAAAACACAAAAGACTTTCCACATCTTGTTCAACATGTATCCGAGCAATTAGCTTGAGTGGAGCACAGTAATACAGGCTTGTATCTGGATGTTCGGATATATATACTTTTATTGAGATCCATATGTTGTGTAACATATATGTGTCACTATACGCAAATGTACAACACATATACCAGGTGTTCAAAATAAACTCAAAAAGTACTTTATTAGAGTGTTTTGGAAAGGTCTCGAGATAAGCTACAAGAATATGCAATAAAAAATAGGGGTTTTGTTTAAGAAATTGAAGATGACCTTCAAATGATTATCCAAGATCAAATCAGTTATACCATCTTATGTCCCCCTTGAAGCCATAAAATTTTTGTTTAAAACATTTTTCTCTAAAATGCTTTATTTTCGAGATATAAGTTGTTACGCTTTATTTTGAACACCTGATATAGTATATGATAATATATTCTTAATGTAATGCAGCGATCCATAATGTAGTGTGACAAGGAAGAAAAGAGGTCGCTACGAATCAATTATTCTAAGAATGATCGCAAAAAGTAAATAAAATAACATTGACTTGCTCTCATTAAACATTGTATTGTTATACATACCACATTTCAAGGAAAAAAAGCACAATTCTTCAAATTCATAATATAACAGTTTTTTAGTTAGAAACTAAGAACACGAGAATGTAATAAGTGTAACAGAACAGTGTTATTGAACAAAAAAAAAACATATATGGAAATAACAATAATTTATTGGATGACAGATATAGCACAAAACATGTATTACATAGAAAATATTATTAGATAGTCAATCGACAACGTAAAAATTTAATAGAAGAATAAAAAAAAACACATTGTGTAATATTAAATTGTATTACAATAATAAAAGACAATTTTCTAACCATTTAACGTTCCTGATCTCTTTTTTCACCAATTCTTTAATCAATTCTAACAATTATAATTATGGACATTAATTTTATATAAAACTGTAATCGTGATAAATGCGATGTATCAGTATTATTTAAATTTCGAGTTTATACAAATAGTTTTTTCTTTGGTCACTCTTTTATCGATAATTATCGATAAAATATATATTTATTGATAATTAATTACTGCAAACCTTTTTATTATTATATTTATAAGAGGCACATTATTTGAATTATTACAGGTATTACATTGCGCATAATGGCGGTGACTAAATTTGAAGCAGCCAATCAAATACTTGCCTGTAATGACTTTTGCATTATGGGCAAGCATTGATTGGTCAAAAATGTGCCACTAATTTTGATCTCTCTGCGCATCTCGGGAATGCAATACCTGCCCAGCAAACACAGATATGTAATTGTTACATTGCCGTAATAAAACGGAATGTAACAAGTAATATAACGTGAATGTTACATGTAACATTCACGTTAGTTATTATTTCTCACTCATAGGATATTGCAGCTATATAACCAAACCATAACACATAATTAAAATAAAATATAACTGTAACATTGTAACCTTAATATTATATAACAATGATATAAATTGATGAAATGTTACATAATAGTAATATAAATTATTTTATTGTTATAAAACTGTTATTAAAGTAATTACAGTACAGTTATATAACAATTATATATATTTATATATTTTAGCACATTTATAATTTTCAGGAATATTTTGAATCCTGGAATTAATTTTAAATAAAACAAAACAAAAAAAATTGCAATAAAAAAACATTTTATTTAGTTTGATTTAAAATCAATTCAAGAACTTATAATATTATAAGTATTAAATATATATATAAGTTCTTGAATTAATTTTAAATCAAACTAAACAAAATGTTTTTTTATTGCAATTTTTTTTGTTTTGTTTTATTTAAAATTAATTCCAGAATTCAAAATATTCCTGAAAATTATAAAATATTTTATAAATAAATATATTATAATTACATTAAAGTGATATTAAAATTGATAAAAAAGGAAATAAAGATAACAATAAATATAATATATACCGTTTATAATATATTTTTATAAAATTAAAATAATACGTATATATATATATATATATATATATATATATACCTATAAATAAATTACACATATAAACTTTTCAAAATACACATAAACTATAATTATGAAAAAAAAAAGAAATTTTTATATGTTGTACAAAGTACACAAAGTGACAATGCTATAATTGATGATAATATATTATCATAAACTTTTGTAAATATAAGTTTTGTAACTAAATAATAGTAACAGCTCAGTTCTCAAAGTAATAATTAACATTATTTTTTATTATTTATCAGTTTAAACATTTTCTCTTATCTCATCAGGTACGTTTTCTTTATTATTTTTTGTTTCTCTGTGATATCGTTGCTTCGCAAAACGAAGCCATTCCGCCACAATAGTTTCTGTTTCTGTTTCCGTGAATGTTGGGTAGCGTGAAACAACTTCTCCTTAAAGAAAAATAATAAAACAATTTTGATACATATTTTGTAATATCTATTTAAAATTTATATTTAAAAATTAAAAATTTTTTTAATAGTTTATATCTTGAAACTTACTTATTATTGTTTTTATTAACTGCAAATTACAAATTTTAAAATTATCTTTTTTCTCTTTCCAGGAACAATCTGTGGCACTGTTATATCCCTCAAAGATATAACTATTAAGAAATAGTTACTCGTGTTACATCCGCTTGACGACAAACACTGACCGCGTAAAAACGCATACGATGCGAGATATACGCGGAACCGAAATTGCTCAACGCGCAAGCAAAGCAGAAGGACTTTGAATCTGCTTCGCTTGCACTTGGGTCCTTGACCGAGGGGGCCTGTTGCCAGGCACCCCTTCCGATCAAGGAAATCTCAAAAAGCGATATTATAAAAAGGAAGCAGAGACGCGCCGAATCGCTCAGTTGCAGTCGCAATAAGTCGCTCTCAAGACGCTCTCGCGTCGTTAGTTAAACAACCTCGCTAGCCGCGTGCGATATATAACATCCCTTCGCAGTCGCGAACGATACGCGAAGTTATAGTTAAACAATGCCGTTAAACCGATATATTCACAAGTGTAACAGTGGTAAAATAAATAAAAGTCAAGCGGTTTACTTGAATAAAAGTTTTAATAATAAAAGTGAAGTGCATTTATTTCATCAACCCGAAATAAGTCCTGACGCCCCGAATCCTCATCCTAATTTGGCGCGACCCTTTGTGTCTCACCCGAGGCACACAACAGCACATTTATTTGTGAAAATATTCTTTAAAATCCGATGAATATTGTCTTTAGGATTATTCCCACCAATTTTCAATAAAAATCTTTTCTGCAAAATAATATTTTTTGTTCGTTGATATTTTTGCTTATCATAAAATTTTTATATTAAAAAAATCAATATATATTTATATATGATTGTTCGAAAGTTTGGAAACATTCACGATTATTTTACATCTCATAAAAAGTTAAAAAAATTTCTAAAAAGTTTTTCTACGCATCAAAATCTACTTGTAAAAAAGTTTCAAAAAAATCAGTGAGAAGGACCGCTCATCTTTACCTTTACCAAAATCACAGGTGTTGTCAAATTATATAATAATATTAACGATAATAAAAACACACATTGCAAAAAAATATAAAAACTTACGAGTAGCGTTTCTGTTTCTTTATTTGTTTTCAATATATCTTCTATAATTTTTATATCTTCAATTTGGTTAAGAGGAAAAACTCCACAATATAATTATTGCTTTCTATAGATTGTTATACTGGATAGCCCCGCCTCATTATATCTTCCATTTTCTTCAATCGTTCAGTGTTATCTCTTAACGTTACATTGCTTGTTGCCACCAAACGTTCTATCTTTTTTAAGCTTTCTGTAATGTTATAGATAATATTGTACGTATATATAAGACAAAGATATTATGAAATTAAATTAAAATTGTTTTGAAAAATAACGTACCTTGTATATTAAAGTTTTCTTGTGTTTGAAGAGGAGTTGAGAAAAAATTGGTACAAGCAGTATTTAATTCATTATTAATCAATTGATTATATCGTCTTTTAAATAAATATCGTAATTCTTTAGGCATGATGAACAAGTTTTTCTTATATAAATGTTGAAAAAAAAAATATATATATATATATATATTATATTTAAGGAAAATAGCTTTTATAATTAATTTGTTATTGTAGATAATAGATTATAGTATATAAAGAACGTAATAGAGAGATTAGATGATGTTCTTTTTATTTCATTATATACAAAGTTTTGTGCTTGAGTTTGCAATCTTGAGAAAATCTGATTGACAATCTCTATATTAATTATCTCTACATTATTCAAATTATTTTTTTTTAATTATTGTAACTACAGCATTCTAATATAAGAATTTTTATTTTAAGAGTTAGAAAATACAATATTATCCAGGGTCGCAGAAGTTCTGAAATTACACACATATAAATTATAAAAATTATATTATACATATATATTTAGTATTATTACAAATATGTATTATTCATAGGAATTATTTTAGAAAATGTTTCTGATTTTTTATTTAATATAATTAGTAATATGCATTCACACAATTTTATAACTACTATGTTACACGATTATTATATGCAATATAATAAGCTATTATATTACGTTAGTTATTTTTCAATTCCGTCTATCGAATTAAATAAGGTTAGTTAATATTATATTAATATGAGTATATATATATATATATATATATATATATATATATACATATACATATATCAGTTAAGTAAAAATGTTTCTTATATTTATATAAATATGATGTATAATGCTTAATTAATTTAAATATGAAACAATCAAACTTTTTGGTAGTAGTAGTAGTAGTAGTAGATTGGTAGTGAGTGGTTCCATAACTTGGCCCCCGACGGCACCTAGATCCAGCGAGATCCATTGTGTCTCCTCACTCTTGTCTTTAAACTGAGTGATGTGTACTCAGCCCAGAGTTCTCCACTAGGCTTATGAGTTCCACCACCCTTGTTTTGTCTAATTCTTGGGATTTAAGAAAACTTTGTCCCCAGATCCTGAATCTCTTTCTAGCCAGAGCCGGACATTGGCAC